TCATTATTGTGGTTGTTACTGTTATCATCATCATCATTATTATCGTTATCATCATTAATGTCATTATTATCGTTATCATCATTAATACAATTATTATCGTTATCATCATAAATATCATTACCATCATTATCATCATTAGTATTATTACTATTATCATTGCCAATTTTATCATCATTATCCCCATTACCAATTTCTTATCATTATGATGCATCTTTTATTTCTATAATAATTGTCCTCCTCATCATTACCATTACAATTTGTGTCAGAAAGTATATTATTAACAGCATCATTACTATCATCAGGGTTTATTAATCATGGAATAGGTAAAAACAAGTAAAATATTAATATTGTGGTGCCAGTATGAATTACTATAAAGAAAATATCAGCAGTAGGTTCAATGATGATGATGGTGGCAATGATGATGATGGTGGTGTTGGTGATGATGATGGTGGTGGTGATGGTGATGATGATGATGATGATGATGATGATGATGGTGATGAGGATGATGATAGTGGTGGTTGTGGTGGTGTTGGGGATGATGATGATGAAGATGGTGGTGTTGAAGATGATAATGAGGGTGATGATGATGATGATGATGATGATGATGATGATGATGGTGGTGGTGGTAGTGTTGGGGATGATAATGACGATGACGGTGGTGGAGGTAATAGTGATGACGGTGCTGATAATCCTGATAAAGATAAAAACCGAAGATGATGATAACAGTGACTATAATAATTATAGTGAACATGACATGATGGTGGTCATGACTGTGGCGATGATTTTGATCATGATGAGGATAACAACAACCATGATAGTTATCACTGGAATCACGATCATATTAGAAATAACAGTGAAAATCATAATAACAATGCTAATACAAACATCACGGACAACAACAAGAGCAATGCTTGTAATAAACAAATTATTTACAAAGAAAATTCTTCTAATCAGCTAATAGTTATGAGTATTATAATCATTACGGTAATGATGATGATTATAATGATAACTGTATTGATGATGATGATAACACTAATACTATTAACAATGATAATAATGACAATAATAATAATAATAATAATAATAATAATAATAATAATAATGATATTGATGATGATGGTGATAATAACAATAATAATGATAATAATAACAGCAATAATAAAAATAATAACAACAATAATTACAATAAAGATAACGATGATAATATTAATGATAACATCAACTACAACAACAAATAATAATAATGATATTAATGATGATGATGATAATAATAACAATGGCAGTTATAACAACAATAATAATAAGGATAAAAATAATCAAAACAATTGATAATATTAAGAAGTCTACAACAATAAAGTATTCAGATTAATGATGATTATACTATCAATGAAAATAATGATAACACCATCATATCATTAATATTGCCATTGTGAAAACGACATCAGTGACTGAACCAATATCAACAATAGTATGTTATAATAAGAATAATATGAATAATCATATCAGTATTAGTGGAGAAGAAATATGCTTCAGAATAATAATGCCTATTTTAGAAAAAATAACCAAGATATAGAAACCAAGATAGAGAAAATAACATAAGAAAATAAGATTATTTTGATTTATTCAGTGAAACAGAACCACTGGGAAAAATAGTGATTCATACTTCAATATTTGACGGGGTGTGAGGGAAAGAAAGAGAGAGGGGGAGAGAGAGAGAGAGAGAGAGAGAGAGAGAGAGAGAGAGAGAGAGAGAGAGAGAGAGAGAGAGAGAGAGAGAGAGAGAGAGAGAGAGAGAGAGAAAGAGAGAGAGAGAGAGAGAGAGAGAGAGAGAGAGAGAGAGAGAGAGAGAGAGAGAGAGAGAGAGAGAGAGAGAGAGAGAAAGAGAAAGAGAGAGAGAGAGAAAGAGAGAGAGAGAGAGAGAGAGAGAGAGAGAGAGAAAGAGAGAGAGAGAGAGAGAGAGAGAGAGAGAGAGAGAGAGAGAGAGAGAGAGAGAGAGAGAGAGAGAGAGAGAAAGAGAGAGAGAGAGAGAGAGAGAGAGAGAGAGAGAGAGAGAGAGAGAGAGAGAGAGAGAGAGAGAGATGAAAAGTGGCAAAAGACACGCATTTGCAGCCTTTACAGTAGATATCGGAAAATAATACTCCAAGATGCAAGCCACACGCACCACCGCACGGCCGCTGTCTGTTCTTTTGTTCTCATCCTTAACAGTCTAGTACAAAAGCTATCCCTGGCAGCTGCTTTCATTGCAAGACAAGCACCTGCTCTGTCTCACAAGCCTGTGCGAGAAACCTGTCTTTCGTTGTTTAAAAATTGGAAGAAAACGCTTCCACTTCCCGTTGTAACGAGGAATATGTCTTTATGCATTATACAGGAGTCGGAGAATATATAGTATTGATGCGAATGCTTATATATCTTTCCACACAGATCTGACGTTAATTAATGCTACATATATCATAACATAAGTATAAAATGTAACATAGAGCGAGTAATATCGCATATTGTA